AAAGATTGAGAAATTGTTCTTTGTCGGATGTCATGCGTGCTCTCTTATTGCGAGGATGGATGGCTGGGTGGGTTTATGGATGGATGGGAGGCTGGGTGGATGGATGGATGGGAGGCTGGGTGGATGGATGGATGGGAGGCTGGGTGGATGGATGGATGAGGGTGAGACACAAATGTCATATTTTTAAATCTTGTCCACATTGAGCTGAAGTCAATTATTGGTATACCCAGGACAAAGTCTTAGAAGTTTCTGTACTCTTTTCCATCACCCTTGAATATACAACTGACCATGCAAGAGACATCAGTCAACTACTGACTGGACCCCAAGTTAAAACACATCTCTGCCAAATATAACAGCATACTCCCCTTCCAGGGTGGGTTCCATGGGGCGAACTCTACGGTAACAAAGGGCTTCTTTCAGTCCTCCATCCACAAAGAAACTGAAGAAGAAGGTCCCACCTGAGTTAGTACTCTACTGTACGTCTTAGAAACTAATTGGATGTACCAAATGGGATCCCACTTCTGACACCTAATGTGCCAATCACAATTAGTGCTCATTCAAAGTAAAGTGGTTCATGGGAGATGATTAACGGGACCAGAAGCTGAGCACCATTGACTCCCAGTCATGACTCGGAGCGTGTTAAAAATGGCTCCCTTCAGGGCACCCACTGAGTGGGGCTGTTTTGAACGAGTCAGACACCCGGTGCTTCTGGGGTATCTCTTTTAATGCAAGCCCTCGACAGTGCAGACAGGGACCTAGGGGGCCTAGAGTCAGGCACCTGAGGAGCCAATGGAGAGGGTAGACAAAGGTGGCCTGAGCCTCTTAGCTTGTGCAGCACCCCGTGGCCTGGTTGTTGACCTGGCTGGGTGCAGCTGTTGCCTGCCTGCCTGACATGGTATCCAGATGTCTGAGAGAGGGTGAGAAACAGGGCTGCTGTGGTGTGTATGTGTGTGATGGGGGGGGGGGGGGGGGGGGGGGGCTTCTATGAGAGGGGAAGTCTTCAGCTCAACAATTTCTCATTTCATGTGGTTTCATAGGAAGAACACACACGAGAGAGAGAGGAGCAGCGACGAGAGAGAGAGAGCAGAGAGAGAGCAGAGAGAGAGAAGAGAGAGAGTGAGAGGAAGAGAGAAGTAGAGAGAGAGAGAGAGAGAGAGACAAACAAACAGCCCATCTGTCTTCATCAGCCACCACCACTCCGTAATTACATCAAACCAACAGCTTCTCTCCACACACGCACGCACACACACACGCATGTACACACACGCATGTACACACACGCATGTACACACACGCACACTCACTCACTCACTCTCTCACACACACACACACACATACACACTTTTACAGTCTCTGTTTGACAAATGAACGGCACTGATATGTATCTAGCCCAACGACAGGGATGAGTACTTCCAGATCTTTAGGAAGGAGCCATGGCTACCTGTCTTACTGAAAACCAGGCGCATGCACGCTCTCTCTCACACTCACACACACACACACACACACACACACACACTCCCCAGATACTGTACACATGTTCCCCTGCTGACAACATAACCACACTCTCCAACCCACAGACAGCGATAAAGAACATGATTCCCAGTCACACAGAAAATTGATGTTTTCTGTCAATGGGAGTGACAGGTTTGTGAGGCTGGAGTGGTGGCTGTATTCCAGTTGTGTTGACCACACGGTTAATAGGGGATATGGAAATTGAGAATGTATATCAATGATTAGCTATACCCCTTACATGCGAATTGTCAAATAAAAATCCAGATTTTCCCACAATTGTCATACTCCTCCACATTACACCTACACGTAATATGTATTAGCCTAACTCATACTTCACTGCATTACTTATTCATTCCATACATAAATACATCAAATCAACAATACACGGTTTCAAAGTATATCATAATACCTAGATACGGCGATACCTTGACTCGCTTAGATCACCTCGGTAGTGGAGCTCGCTGACAACGGAGCTCTAGGCCTAAAGCTTTGTAGCCTTGTAGTGCAACTTGCCCTGCTGCTACCGTTCAGAGTCAAGTCAAAGCTGCTCCTCCGAGTCATTTGTTTTGTGCGCCACAAAAGAACAAATGGGATTTGTGTCGACTGTAGAGTTGGAAGCAGTGGCAGTGTACCCGCGCTGGTGTTCAAACAGAGGGGTTTATTATTAGAATTTAAATGAATTTCTTTCAGTCTCTCTTTACTCCTGATACTTATCGGCCTAATCCGCCCCTCCACTCCCCGATTCACACTCCCAGCTACTTTAATTAGCATAGCACCAACCCGGCTAGCAGACAGAGAGATCGAACACGGGGGAGAGAGATACAGGGAGAGAGAAACAGGGAAGGAAGGAAGGAAGGAAGGAGGGAGGGAGAGAGAGAGAGAGAGAGAGAGAGAGAGAGAGAGAGATATAGAGAGCGATATAGAGAGAGATAGAGAGAGAGAGAGAGAGAGAGATAGATAGATATAGATATAGAGAGAGAGGAGATGAAGCGAGAGAGAGAGAGACTATGATCAGTCTGGGGCTAACTGGGAAAATCCTCTCTTGGTCTTTTGTTCTGATATGTGACCATCGTTGCCAGGTTACTGGTGTCACTCCCCCTGTTGTAGAGTGGTGTCTCATTAAACCCTAAGGAATCCAGAGAACTCTGGACACAATCGAGGCCTATACTTTTCTAACAAGACATTAAGAATGGGAATACCCTACCAAAATGAGATGAGGTCCATGAATAGGAAGAACATGAGCATCTTTGTGACTGTGTGTGTGTGTGTGGTGTGTCTCTGCATGTGTGTGTGTGTTTGTGTGTGTTTACATGTGTATGTGAGTGGGTGTGTCTACATGTGTGTCTGAGTATATGTGTGTGTGTGTGTGTGCGTGCATGAGTTTGTTTGTATGTGCGTATATGTCTGCACGTGTGTGTTTCGTGTGTGTGAGTATATGTGTGTGTGCCCTGGTTCATGTGGACCATCTGTGGGCAGTAAAACAGCATATCTCTGTGTGTCTCCCCATCTCCAGTGGAAAGAGAGAGAGAGAGATGCCCCGTGGCCCTCTATCAGGGCTTGACCTCTGGATGCCAATGTCATGTAACCTCAGCCCTTCACTCTACCCAAAAAATAATAATAAAAAAAACTCAGCTCCCCCCTCGCCCTCGCCCTCACCCTGCCACCTAGAACCAGACCACTATCTCTGCCTTAAAGACACAATCTGTCACTTTCAGCCCCCTGCACTTGTTTGTGAATTGTGATGGTGGGCCAAACCATACCTCCTATCCATTCACATCTCTCATTCTCAGAGAGAGAGACAGCGAGAGAGAGAGACAGCAAGAGAGAGAGAGAGACAGAGAGAGAGAGAGAGAGAGAGAGAGAGAGAGAGGAGATGAGACGAGAGAGAGAGAGGAGAGAGAGAGAGAGAGAGGAGAGGAGAGGAGCACAGAAGAGAGAGCTACAGAGAGAGAGAGCTACAGAGAGAGAGAGAGAGAGAGCTACAGAGAGACAGAGAAGAGGCTACTGCAAGAGAGAGAGAAGAGATTGATGTTGGTCTTTTTCATGCCTCTTAGTCGCTGTTATGTTGGACTTTTTGGCTGTGAAATTCAATCACGTTATCCAGGTTTTACTCGTCATCGCGCCCGTCTCCCGGTCATTCCCCCCGCCAGCTAGCCCAACAGTAATCCCAGACGATATCTCCCCAACTGGAGAACATACGCACACACATGCAGGCAGGTATACAAACACACGAAAATAGAACAGAATGGTTTTTAGCTCTGTCATGAGCTAAGCTGGGAATTTACTACATCTTTTATTTAGAGAGAGAGAGTAGAGGGGGAGGGAGGGAGAGAGAGAGGGAGGGAGAGAGATAGAGAGAGAGATGGAGTTAGATATATAGCGAGAGATATAGATAGACGAGAGAGGATAGAGAAAATAGATAGACTATCTAGATCAGATTAGTAGATAGCGCTCTCTCTCTCGCTCGCGATACTATCCTCGCTCTCTCTCGCTCTCTCGCTCTCTCTCTTCTCTATCGCTCGAGCTGGTGTTCGTGTGAGGTAGGGAGAGATGTATAGATATTCCTTCCAAGGTGACATTGCAGTCAGATTCCAGAGCAGAGTATCAAGTCCTTCTCAGTGGCTGGTGGTGCTCAGAGCAAGCCTCTTAGGAAATCCGCTGAGCCCTGCAGCCGCACTCACACAGAGCAGTCTTACAGTAAACACACAGTGAAAAATAGAAATAAAACCTACAATGTGACTTAAATGCTTTCGGTAATGATTTTATTCATAAGGAGTAGACGTAAAACCTGTCATGAATGTCTTATGCAGTTGTATTAAATCAGTTGTATGTATGAGATTCAGTTGTAGTGAATCTTTTGTACATCGTTGATAATACACACGTTACAGTGTCAGTGTTAGCATTGGTGTTGCTAACTGGCTGCCATTGGTGGTGATTCTTAAGTGAAGCAGGGAAAAGGTTGGTGAATCGAAAAGTGTCTTAGCTCATCCCTCTCACTCTTAGCACCTAGGGCAAACACTGCCTAGTGTAATTATTAGAGTCTACCCTTCGAAAATAGAACTCCAAATTATATTCTACACTTGAAAGGCATGTTTTTCATTTGCACAAATGTAAAACTTCAAATGTAGTCAGTGAGGAGAGGAAGAAAGTGGGTGGCCTGGGGCAAAGTATAGGTGGTGTGTGTGTACTTTCACTCACTTTAATTCTCATATTGTGTGCGTGTGTGCATGTATGTGTGAGCGCGTGAGTGTGAGCACGTGTGTGTGTGTGTGGGCATGTGTGTGTCTGTGCATGCTCGTGCGTGTTCGGGTGTGGTGTGTAGGCTATCCATCTGCGTGTAGGCCCGTACTTGTACAAGGCTTTTCTCTTTTACTAGCCACGTTTAATTAAGACCCAGCAATTAGTGTCCTGTGGAGTTGAAAGAGGGGTCATTTGTGCCTGTAGCCATGCACTGCTCTTTCATTTACCAATCTGCTTAATCTGGGCCTATGGGAGTGGAGAGGGAAGCTGACAATACAAGAGGGATAGGGGGGCTGGAAGAGCTATGGCTGGGGGAGTGGGTGAGGCCGAAGTCCTGCTGAGCCAGAAGCACCTGGAATATCAGTTTGGGCCTAACACCTTTGCATATATCAGTTTGGGCCTATCACTTTTGCATATACTGTAGGTTGAAAATGAGATTAAACTTTTTGCTAAGCATAAGTCATTAATTGATGTCTATGGGAGAATGGTGTGTAGATGTGGAGTTCGACACACTTATCTGAAGTTAGGATTCTCTCACAGTAATGTTATTCTGCAATCACGCAAGAGAAGCATCTGTGTTTCAGACCCGATCTGGCCAAGCCATATGGACGCGTGTGTGTGTGTGTGTGTGTGTGTGTGTGTGTGTGTGTGTGTGTGTGTGTGAGCAGCGGAGCACAAATGTGCATCCCTGTCCCAGGCCATCCATCCGTTGATCCATGCGAGCCAGCTGAAAGGCAGCATTGCTGGGGCTGAGAGTGCCTGTTTAAAAGGCCTCTTTGTGGCCCATTCAAGCCAAGCCTCCATTGTATCCTTGTTTCAGCGGCCCTCTCAATGGTCCGGCCCATTTGGGAGACAACAGGAGATTAACTGCACAGACAGTGTATTAAGTGTTGATGAATTGGCCCCAAAAGCCATAGATCAATGACACAGGCCTGCTTTTTCCTACCGCATATATACAAACATACATACAGATTTAGGATCTTAATTTGATCACCCTGTTGCAGGATAACTTTCCTGCAATGCAGGACATTTAAAACGTTGTAGTGTATTTGAGGTTTTAAAAGGCTCCTTAAGTTTGTAATTTCCACTTTGAAATTTCAGACTTGATTTTCCCTTACGAAAAATAGATCAACACCTATACAAATTTCAATAAATCATAATTCACATAATAATTCACATTTGCTGTTGGTGCAGGATTATTTTCCTGCTGTAGCAAACTGGCTCAAATTAAGATCCTACGTCTGTGCACAAGCCCAGAGCCTTTAACTGGTTGGTTTAAACACACATAGGTATGTTAGGGAGGGGAAAGATCCCTTACTGCCCATTTTAGATGCATGACAAGATTCATGTTCCCCTTGAGTGTCTGACGTGTGTTTGTCTTGATGGCCGCAGTTTGAGACAACATTGACTAGGTGCTCAAAGACACAATGTTTGTTTATCAGGAACACCTTCCTAATACTGAGTTGCACCTCCCCCGTTTGCCATCACAACAGCCTCAATTCGTCAGGCATGGACTCGAAAGCGTTTCACAGGGATGCTGGCCCATGTTGACTCCAATGCTTCTTACAGTTGTGTCAAGTTGGCTTGATGTCCTTTGGGTGGTGGACCATTCTTGGGAAACTGTTGAATGTGAAAAACCTAGCAGCGTTGCAGTTCTTGACACAAACCAGTGCACCTGGCACCTACTACCATACCCCGGTCAAAGGCACTTAAATCTTTTGTCTTGCCCATTCACCCTCTGAATGGCACACATACACAATCCATGTCTCAATTGTCTCAAGGCTTAAAAATCCTTCTTTAACCAGTCTCCCCCCCCCTTCATCTACAGTGCCTTGCAAAAGTATTCATCCCCCTGGCATTTTTCCTATTTTGTTGCATTACAACCTGTAATTTTAACCGTTTTTTTATTTGGATTTCATGTAATGGACATACACAAAATAGTCCAAATTGGTGTAGTGGAATGAAAAAAATAACTTGTTTCAAAAAATTCTAAAAAATAAATAACGGAAAAGTGGTGCGTGCATATGTATTCACCCCCTTTGCTATGAAGCCCCTAAATAAGATCTGGTGCAACCAATTACCTTCAGAAGTCACATAATTAGTTAAATAATGTCCACCTGTGCACAATCTAAGTGTCACATGATCTGTCACATATATATACAGAGTCTGCAACACCACTAAGCAAGGGGCAACACCAAGCAAGCGGCACCATGAAGACCAAGGAACTCTCCAGACAGGTCAGGGACACAGTTGTGGAGAAGTACAGATCAGGGTTGGGTTATAAAAAAATATCTGAAACTTTGAACATCTCACGGAGCACCATTAAATCCATTATAAAAAATTGAAAGAATATGGCACCACAATAAACCTGCCAAGAGAGGGCCGCCCACCAAAACTCACGGACCAGGCAAGGAGGGAATTAATCAGAGAGGCAACAAAGAGACCAAAGAAAACCCTGAAGGAGCTGCAAAGCTCCACAGCAGAGATTGGAGTATCTGTCCATAGGACCACTTTAAGCCGTACACTCCACAGAGCTGTGCTTTACAGAAGAGTGGCCAGAAAAAAGCCATTGCTTAAAGAAAAAATAAGCAAACACGTTTGGTGTTTGCCAAAAGGCATGTGGGAGACTCCCCAAACATATAGAAGAAGGTACTCTGGTCAGATGAGACTAAAATTGAGCTTTTTGGCCATCAAGGAAAACACTATGTCTGGCGCAAACCCAACACCTCTCATCACCCCGAGAACACCATCCCCACAGTGAAGCATGATGGTGGCAGCATCATGCTGTGGGGATGTTTTTCATCAGCAGGGACTGCGAAACTGGTCAGAATTGAAGGAATGATGGATGGCGCTAAATACAGGGAAATTCTTGAGGGAAACCTGTTTCAGTCTTCCAGGGATTTGAGACAGGGACGGAGGTTCACCTTCCAGCAGGACAATGGCCCTAAGCATACTGCTAAAGCAACACTTGAGTGGTTTAAGGGGAAACATTTAAATGTCTTGGAATGGACTAGTCAAAGCCCAGACCTCAATCCAGTTGAGAATCTGTGGTATGACTTAAAGATTGCTGTACACCAGCACAACCCATCCAACATGAAGGAGCTGGAGCAGTTTTGCCTTCAAGAATGGGCAAAAATCCCAGTGGCTAGATGTGCCAAGCTTATAGAGACATACCCCAAGAGACTTGCAACTGTAATTGCTGCAAAAGGTGGCTCTACAAAGTATTGACTTTGGGGGGGGGTGAATAGTTATGCATGCTCAAGTTTTCTGTTTTTTTGTCTTATTCTTGTTTGTTTCATAATAAAAAATATTTTGCATCTTCAAAGTGGTAGGCATGTTGTGTAAATCAAATGATACAACCCCCCCAAAAAATCTATTTTAATTCCAGGTTGTAAGGCAGCAAAATAGGAAAAATGCCAAGGGGGGTGAATACTTTCGCAATTAAAGTGGCAAAACCTTAAGCCCAAACCTATTTCCACATCAAATTCATCTAATTTTGTCTTTGCCCCAAATGGCACCCTATTCCCTTTAATGCACTACTTTTACAATGGCCAATAGATCTCTGTTCAAAGGTAGTGTACTATAGGGAATATGGTGCCATTTGGGACGCACCGTTGTGAATCAGTCTTTCAACCCAGCCGTTCCATTATTTAATAATTTGATATATTCCAACACCAGCACATCTGAAACTAGTAATCAGCAAGCCGCTGTTAATTGAAGCAGGTGTTTTTTAAACAGTAATTTTGCCCATAGTGTGTAGGGTCCTCACACTGATGGTGTTAATTAAGATTTAAGTGTGTTTGATTGACGCTTTAGCGATTATCACCCCCAAAATACCACTGGGTCAACCAGTTTGAATGAACAGTTAAACAGTTAATTGCAGGTTCTCTGCCTTGGTCTTCCTCCCTCCCTTTTAATCTTTGAAGTCTTTGTTTTCTCTCTTTTTCTCTGTCTCTTTTTCTTTTCCTCCTTCCTGCTGTGCAGTCTCCCATTCATTCATGAAAATCCTCTGTCTCTCTAGGTGTGGTTCAGCAACCGACGGGCCAGGTGGCGTAAGCAAGCGGGAGCCAATCAGCTGGCGGCGTTCAATCACCTGTTGCCGGGTGGATTCCCAGGCAGCGGCATGCCCACGCTACCCACCTACCAGCTCCAAGATTCCGGCTACCCCACAACCACGCTATCACAAGGTATAGACATATCTACCACCACCTGCAAACACATGGTCCTAACATGTAGTGTTGAGGTACCATTGTCAAAGTTGGTTAGCCACGTAGTGCTAGTTTGAGCTAATTTATTTGAACCTTGTCTGAGACCTGAAGACACATGTTACAGTAGCTCCTTGAGCTAATGCCTAGGATTTAGGTCAGTGGGCTAACACGGTCTCGTGGCGCGTAGATGACATCTGAGTCACATACATGATTTGACCTGTTACAAAACACCCAGTAGCGCTAAGATGATATTACATGACTATGGTGCTGTGTATGTGATCATCACCCATGATCTTAAATGTGATTTCTCCCTGGTCCCCCTTCTGTCGAAATCGCAGACGGTAGTGGCACGGTTCACCGCCCCCAGCCATTACCACCGTCCACCATGCACCAGGGAGGGCTGTCGGGCGGGGACAGCGGCTCGGCATACGGCCTGTCGTCCAACCGCCATGGCTTCTCCAGCTACTCTGACTCCTTCATGAGCCCCTCGGCATCCAGTAACCACATGAACCCCGTCAGCAACGGCCTCTCCCCACAGGTAAGTGCTGGGGGTCAAAGGGTCGCATGTCAGGGTGTGTGGATTTGTGTGTTTGTGTGGCGGTATTATTCCACTGCTCTGAGGGTGTGTGTACAGGTCGTGTGTGTACAAGTCGCGTTGGTGTGTGAGGACAATTCCTCCGTAGTAAGAAACGTACCTGCAACCTATAAAAAAACGTCCCATTCAATAAAAATAAAAATATTGTGCGGTAAAGAAAAGGACTATTCAAATGTCGACTGATAGGTTCTTTCTTGTCCCACTGTTTATTGTTATTGTTTATTAGGATCTCTAACAAATGGTATCATTGTTGATTGCATAAGTCCAAAACATGCATTCTCGCAACTAGGAGAAGAGTTGTGTTTTTGTCGTACCTCGGAAACCCAGTTTCTGCTTTTGATAGATTAATGCCCAGTGGCTTGTCTCTGATTAAGAGAGTCTCTTGTGGCTTTGACTGTAAACGTTTCAAGTACAGAAGATACCAATATCCTCTTGCTACAGGGGGATTTTGGATGATAATGTTTGACAATTAATTTCATCCCACATCCCTGAGCCTCAAATCAAATGAGGACGATTGTTCGACAAGTGGATTCTAAATGAATTAGAGTTTGAACTTAAAACCTACAACCATGTTAGACAAATCCTTCGCTCGACTCAGTAGGCACTACAGGGAAACAACTAATACGAAGATATCCTAGAAAAGAAAAGACGTAATCACACTAAACTAATGAGTCTTTTCACGGAATTGTCGACTGTGTCTACCGACATCATTTTCGGAATTAATAGACGTCGCTGTCAAAGCACTCTGTCCTAATGTATTGTAACTGATAAAAATAAGTCTTAGCTACCCAAGACAAACTTCCATAGACTAATATTGCATGGTAAATGACCTAGGGATTCAGTATTTTTCACTCAGAAAATAGATTTTAATGTATCATTGAAAGTTAAGGCATTATTCTATGAGGCAGGTATACCATTTTAGTGTCATAGAGCTTCTTCCTCAGATTCTAAGTGATAACTTAATAACTTGATGCTAACAAGCCTGTTCTTCCTCTTCTGTGGGAGGTCCATCAGGTTTTTACATTTTAGGCTTTATTTTCTTGGTCATCTCTTATTAGAGGACAGTGGACTCGATAAGGGAATGTTACACCGCTGTTTCCTTTCCCCTCTATCATCCGCAATGCTATTGTTGTGTGTGCGTGCGTGTGTGCGTGTGTGTGCGTGTGTGTGGCATGCAAATAGGAATTGTCCACCTTATCCTCTCATGGCATCTTGAACAATAACCATTGAAAATTAGAATTTCTGATCGGGTTTGATTCTTAACAGCCACAGAATAGAGTACTAGGGTGGATATTGATGCAAATCACTGGTGAGGAAATTATATGCCATTACTCACCAAAACTGGGCAGTCCAGCCCACCCGGAGCAACAAGATCTGACTAACAAGCAGAAAATAAGATTGAAATGGTATTTAAAGAGTCTAAAATTTAAATTAATGCCACATTTGTCCGCAATTACCCCCGCATTCACACATATTTTATTGCGATTCCCCCCCCATCCCACCCCCCTTTAAATATTTCTCAAAGCAGATTGAGAAAACTGGTAATACTTCCTCTCTTTTTTTCGGCGGAGAAGAGAAGAAAGAATGAAGGATTTGGGTGACAAAAAAGAGATTTTCTCTTGTACTGGAGAGTTGGGGGATAACAGGCGCGTTCCTCAGCGTTTTCTGATTGTTAATCGTAGTGGTGGGGCTTTGGGAGGCTAATGCTTAGCGCTGCAAACCTGCATAAATATCAGGGACATGGGTTGGCTTTTCCTTATGATTATTAACGTGACTCCCGCTCTCCCTTGCTTGTTCGCCGGTAGAACAGATAAAATAACAAGACTTCCCTGTTTTACATTAGGGATTACGACGCTATAGTTCCCAAGCCTACTGTATGGGCAAGAAGAGATTTTTCTATTAAGAGGGGCCTTTACTTAGATTTTGCATACGTATGCGTTTATATATTAGCAATGGAATTTGAAAGTGATTTTTAATTCAATTTTATTCTAATAGGAAATAACTGAACTCCAGTATATTGTAAATTAATTTCTAATAACATTACTCTAAGAATTTAAGAACACGTGTTTCATTTGCATTTGAAGTGACAGAAACATTTAAATAACGTGATGTTAATTCACTGCAACTCAGAAAAATATATGAAATCCATAACAATGTGAGTTGTGTCAGCAACAGAGAAATTAGTTGTTTAAGCAGGTGGGTCAGTGATTCACAATCACAACCCATCCATTCTAATACGTTGCTCTACATGGGTGTTGCGTAAAGGTGTGTGTGTGTGTGTGTGTGTGTGTAAAAGGGTTTTACATTTCTCCAGTCTTAGCAACTCTATCTAGCTCTTCTCAACTCCCCCCCCCCCCCCCCCCCCCCCCCCTCCCTCTCTCTCTCTCTCTCTCTCTCTCTCTCTCTCTCTCTCTCTCTCTCTCTCTCTCTTACCCCTTCACCCTGGTCGACATGTGGCAATCCCATCAACCTCTCATTGTGGGAGAAATTAATGTCCTCCCTGACAGCAGGACTATCACAGTTCAGCCCTCCAGACCACCACACTGCGCTCTGCACAAGCAACCCCTGGCCGTGCCCCTGCAGACACAAATACTATTTTCTCCTCCCCTTCTCTCCTCCCCCGTCTCCCCCTTTTCTGCAGGGAAGGCTCATGGCATCTGCTGAAAAAGCTGCCCGCCTCTTTTTTTTCTCTAAATCGAAATTCCTCCTCCTCTTCTCTTTTTTGATCTCCCTCACTCTCTCCCCAAAATGTTCTGCTTTTCCCATCTCTCTCTTTCTCTCTGTGGAGTATTTTTCTCTGTCCTCAGTGTAGGCTACTATTTCCCCAACCCTTCTGAATGCCTTTAATAAAGCGTTCTATATGCGCACAGCAGAGAGAATATTTCCTTTACAGCAGGCAGGAACATATGGGGGAGATGGAGCTTTCCCCAGTATGATTATCCCATACAGTGCCAAAGCATGGGAATATATATGGAAATGTACGTGAGTGTGTGTGTGTGTGTAAATAAAATGATTTTGTTGTGTGTTATTGGGGATGTGAGCAGAGGAGCATTCTCCAGCCAATCCAGCATTTACAACTTCTTCTTCCCCAAAGGAACGTTTCTGTTCCAAAGTGGTTGTTTGTTCATTTCCTTTCCTCGTTACAAGACTAAGATGTTTTAGTGAGTTTGTGTCTTGTTGGTTCTAATTGGTTTGACAGAGCTTGCAATGGAAAGAGCTTTACTTTGATCCAATTGTGGTTTATGCAACTAACAGCAGCCCCACTAAATATTTATTCCCCCCCGTTTTTGTACCAGTACAAGCATTTTGTCTCGAAGCGATACATGTATTTGCTCATATTCCATACTGTCCCACACAACTTCCTTATAGTGGGTTGGTGTTAGTGTACAAATGCATACTATTGAGGTTTTTCAATAACTTTTAAGACCCCACCTTTGTAGCTGGGCTTTTAATAAGTGATTGTTTTGCTTTCTATGTTATTTTATTATCGTTTTAATGTAAAGTGTGTAGCGATTCTAAATGCACTTTAAATAAAGTTTGATTTGATGTTGTCAACAACAGTAAACAGCACTTAGTATTGCCTAGTACTGTACTGTAGATGGAAACACAGGTCAACTGCACCTTCTTTTCCTTCCCTTTTGTGCACTACATGAAAAACCTGTTCCAACCACATTCTATTGCTTATTTAATTCCCCCATTCTGAAAGAACCTGTTATAGACAATAGCAATCTGCATACTGCATACCTCAGACTTAGATGACCAAGACCAAGTCATTACTAGTCAAGATTAAATAGTCCAAACTGAAGATATTAACTTAATATGTTCTAGTAGCATTATGCCAGAGTTGAACAGGTTCGTTCTCTGTGGGTGTTGTTGTGTTTGGTGTCGATTGAATGTTACTGGAGGCTGCCATTCATTGAATGTTACTGGAGGCTGCCATCCATTGACTCTTACTGGAAGCTGCCATCCATTGAATGTTCCTGGATGCTGCCATCCATTGAATGTTACTGGAAGCTGCCATCCATTGAATGTTACTGGAGGCTGCCATCCATTGAATGTTAGTGGAGGCTAGCATCCATTGAATGTTACTGGAGGCTGCCATCCATTTAATGTTACTGGAGGCTGCCATCCATTGAATGTTCCTGGAGACTGCCATCCATTGAATGTTCCTGGAGACTGCCATCCATTGAATGTTACTGGAGGGTGCCATTAATTTAATGTTACTGGAGCCTGCCATCTATTGAATGTTACTGGAGGCTACCATCCATTGAATGTTACTGGAGGCTGCCATCCATTGAATGTTACTGGAGGCTGCTATCCATTGAATGTGCCTGGAGGGTGCCATTCATTGAATGTTACTGGAGGCTGCCATCAATTGACTGTTATTGGAAGCTGCCATCCATTGAATGTTCCTGGAGGCTGCCATCCATTGAATGTTACTGGAGGCTGCCATCCATTGAATGTTACTGGAGGCGGCCATCCATTGAATGTTACTGGAGGCTGCCATCCATTGAATGTTACTGGAGGCTGCAATCCATTGAATGTTACTGGAGGCTGCCATCCATTGAATGTTACTGGAGGCTGCCATCCATTGAATGTTACTGGAGGCCTGCCATCCAATTGTAATGTTACTGGAGGCTGCCATCCATTTAATGTTACCTGGAGGCCTGCCAACCATTGAATGTTCCTGGAGACTGCCATCCATATGAATGTTACTGGAGGGTTGGCATTAATTTAATGTTACTGGAGTCCATGCCATCTATGGAATGTTTACTGGAGGCTGCCATCCATTGAATGTTACCTGGAGGCCTGCCATCCATTGAATGTTACTGGAGGCTGCTATCCATTGAATGTTACTGGAGGGTGCCATTCATTGAATGTTACTGGAGGCTGCCATCCATTGACTGTTATTGGAAGCTGCCCATCCATTGAAAGTTCCTGGA